CAATTCTGCTTCAGGAAATTAATAACTGGGTGTCCGAAAAGACTAGGAGTAAAATAACGGAGCTAATAACAGCAGACGATGTCAATAAGGACATCGTAATATTACTACTGAATGCAATTTACTTCGGTGGAATTTGGAAGACACAATTTGATGATACAGTGACTCGTAATGAAGCATTTCATATTTCGGAATGCGAAACGAAAAATGTGAATATTCCCTCGAATGTTATAATTTGAAGCTTTCAACTGTTCATTTTAAAATATGTTGCTTGCTCGCAAAACATGAATATGTCTTTTTCTTCCTCTATCGTTATCATTTCTGTTCTCTCAGGTATTGATGATGAGATTAAGAGCAAATTTCCCGTATTATGAAGATGATTCTGTGCAAGTTGTCAAATTGCCTTATGTTGGTGATGAAGTAGAAATGGTTCTCATTTTGCCAAAACTATGCTTTGACATAGCCAATATTCTAAAAAACTTGACGGGCGAACATCTACTCTCACATGTTGGTCAAGCTACACCAAAATTGATGTCAGCTAAAATTCGTTCAATTCAAATTTTGTTTTTTTCAGAAATGTCAATCCATTCAATTTGAGGGTCGTAGAATTTTTTTTTGTCGATTCAGTGTTATTTGAATTTCAGCTAAAACTACCGAAGTTCCTTTTGGAAGCAAAGTTTAGCGATGCTTTCAGTGAAAGAGCCAATTTCAGAGAGCTTACTGATGACGCAGTTTCTATTGGCGGTATTATGTATAGAGACTTCATTGAAGTTTGTATGATTTTTCATTAAATGGAAATTTTGATGTGGAAAATTATCGAAAACAGATATGATGATATCTTTGTAGTCTATTATTTTGAAATTTAGAAAATGATAGATTTAGTGATTTACTTGCAAGGAAATGGAAAAGGGAGCGAATCATCGACTGTCACTGTAATTGAGTTAAAGGAGCGCATGGTTCCAATGTATGAATTCGTCGCTAAATTAGCCATTCATTTTTGGAGTCGTTAAAACCATGAAGACTGTTCCCTTTGCAGGCCTATTTGCTAATTAATTTTCCGCATAATTTTTGATATTGCATGAAATTAACTGCTAATGTCGCTGATATCGCGAGTAGAAAGAAAGGAACAACAATTCTCTTTTTTGAAAGCCCGATATCTTTGTTTTATATGCTAATATCGTCTGACGTTTGCGCTAACAAAGAATCCTAAGCAGATCTCGGTACAAAGACCCTCCTAGTCGAAGAAACGGAGGGACCTGAACACAGGTCCATTTTTACAAATGTGTTTCATTGAGGTCGATTGGATATAATGTATCGGGCGTGATCTTGTCTTTTTTGTTCTTAGTGTTTTCGTTATTAATTTGTTGTGTCGATGTCGTAATTGCAAGTTCACTGTTGTAGTAACCAATTTATCGTAATAAAGGTGCTCCATATGGGTGCTCCATAAGGAAGCTAATTCTTGTTAATCATAAAACGGTACAAGAACCCTCCCGGTCGAAGAAGTGGAGGGTTCTGAGCACCGATCCATTTGTTCAAATGTGTTTCATTAAGGTCGGTTGGGTATAAGGTGTTGGGCGTAATTTTGTCTTTTTTGTTTTTAGTGTTTTCGTTATTTGTTGTATCGATGTCATAGTTGTAAGTTCATTGTTTTATGTTAATAAATTTATCGTAATAACGGTTTAATTACCCAAGTTTGAGGTACTACCAACTGAAGAGGCAGAAAGAATCCTCAGTTCTTGTCACGGTTGAAGAATATCGGCGACACTTAGGATTTGACTGAAGTTTTCCTTTTTGGCTCAACTTTCTATTATCTCTCCTGATTCCTTCGCATTCGACAGAACTAACTGTCAAGTTCTTTCACACAAATTAAGTCACATATTCATATTTTTGGTGCAAATATTGTGTCACCAGTATTTCCATAACATTTTTAAATTCATATATTTACTAATCAACACTTGATAAAATCGTTAATTTTAACTGCGTCATGGTTACATTTTAGCCACTGAACAAAACCATTTAACTATTTTTCACTGAAGTTAAGTAAATTTCACACTAACTTAATTTATGAAAGACCGTTGCATTTGAATGTTTGAATTTCCAAACGGTCTGATTTTGGAGTGTCCACGAATAGAATCACTTGGCTGAACGATTAATTCAGTGAACGGTGTGTAATGTCGTAATTTAAGCGAAGCGAATGTTAGTGGTTTGATATTGTAAGTAATCACATCTCATTTTCATTAAGCCATGTAATCATCAATTCTATACTCTTATTTTTTATCTAATTTGAAAAATGGAATTATCGAAATCTTGGCAGATATGCATTTATACAGTAAACAAAGAGAGATTCAAAGCAAGTTGAAAATAAATTTCATAAAATACAACCAACCAGGAAAGTTACAAAATAAAAGGATAAAAAAGCAAAGTAATTAAAAAGTGTAGTAAAAGTAAAAATAGAACAATATCAAGCTTCGCTTGAATGAAGTTTTGATGTAAATAATTATGGATATTAACAGAACATTAGAGAGTATTAGCATCAATCAATCATTTGAAATGAAGCAGAAATAAAATTTCGAAAAAAAAACCCTGCATATTAGTTGAATTTCTTCCTTTAAAGTTGCGGAATATGCGCGTAATTTATTGGGAATGCTAAAACTCCTCAGAGAATTGCCATTCTCTTTGTTGCTATTTGTCTGTTTCTAGCTATTTGTCTGAATAGTTTCTAATACAGTTTATTATGTAGTTTGATGAATATCTGATAAATAGTTGATATCAGGCATTTTTGTGCACCGTACTTAAAAAAATATTTTATATTTTGACGGATGAGGAATTCCGATTTTAATTAAAAAATAAGTTAATATAACGATTAGCAATACTTTATGCTTTTTCGCTTGCAATCCCTTCGTTTTATGCTTGTCTGATAATGTGAAAGAAACATGCAATGCAGTAATCATTTGATAAACTCCAAAATTTATCAGATTATTGGTGAACAAGACTTGAATTTTGTCAGGTGTGAAGAAATACAAAATGTTTGAACTCATAATTCCATTTTAGTTGATTGGATCGAAAAGACTGAAGTGATAAATGCATGACAGTTCTATAAAAGGATCATTTTCCTGCTTACTGATTTTATCACAGAAAAGTAGGGCTAAAATCTAAATTTTATGAGATTTTCATGATTCGAAAACTTTTAAAGTATTTCTTGCATTTCATTATCAATAAATCATTCCCTAATCATTGTTATCGATAACCATAGGATGTAATAACATCATGCTATAATCCACTGGGAGAAGTTTTTTGGGATCTTCTCGTAAACTGTGTAGATTTGAAAACTCTCAATTTCAAATATTATTTATTTCTTGTATGGAACATAAGTCATTAGACATATAATAAGTGATGATATAAAAGTCAATCGATAATATTATATTCTAACAATTCTGTGATTTTTTATATCACATGCATTAGAAGGTCAATGCGTTGTCTCATTTTTTTTAATTCATCATTTAAGCTATTGTTAAATTGAAAGTGACAAAAAAGTTTGCTGTAAATATTAAGATAAAATCACTAAAACAGCAATCAATTAATTAATCAATCTAATAAAAAAAAGGATAAACTACGACTTTGTTGTAGATCGAAGCTCTTCATTTTTATTAAAAAAAAGAAAAAAAAACACATTGATGATGATATTGTCGAAATTTTATTAACTCCCGATGCTTACAAAAAAAAATGTTTATTTGCGAATTCCTCAAAATATTTGTGGAAAAGGGTATCACCTGAACTTGTCATCGTAAAATTCTCAGATTTTTGATATGCATCCATCAATTTTTGCATCCCTAAGTAAATGAATTTAATTATTTAGATGAGCTTTTGAGAATGACTTTCTTTTCATTTATTCTCTATCGATTTTTCACCCTTTCACTTTTTTTTTCTTCAAATAATTTATACTTTACAAAATTTTTATCTTTCTTCCTATTGTCTATGCTTTTTTTTTTACTTCCAACATTGAACGTACTGTAACGAAAGCTCAAAATGTTTTGTTTTTCCGCTTCCTCTCTTTTTCCTCCTTTTTTTTTCTTTTGAAAAATATCATTCGATTGTTTCCTTTTATGAAATGATTGATTAAATTATATTAAGGTATTTTCGTTTGATACAACTTTCTCTCTTTTTCTCTGTCTCTTCTTCTTTGCTTGAGACAAATAACATTACATTACGGTAACGATCCTGATGACTAAATTAAGGTATAACAATAAAACAAATAAAATACATATCCGAAACATTGATGTATTTTAAAAGAAATAAAAATTATATATATTTTTAATTGGTCACGATTCCAATTGGCTAAATAATTAGCATAATTATTGATTTAAAGGAAAACAACACAAATAATACATTTATTATTGCATGTTAAAGTTTAATTAATAAAAAGGAGAAAGAGAAAAAAATGATGGATATTATTATCCTGGAACATGTATTTGGTATTCATATAGGTATATATTATAAATAACGCATTCATTTAATACAAATAAACTACTTATATGCATGATATTTTTTGTTGGCATTCAATTATGATTAATTGAAAAAGTTCAATTAAATGTACAAAAAAGTAAACATCAAATAATCATTAAGATAATTTCAACAAATTTCATCATTGTACGAGATGAAAATTTTACAAGGACAATAATAAAAAGGGAAGAAAATAAATGACAAATTGTAAACCCGTTCTGTTTAAAATATTGTAAAATTATTATTTATATTTGTGAATTAAATTTTTGTAAAAATTAAATTAAAAATATATCAAAATATTTGTGTAAATATACGATAATAATTGATTATAGAATGATCCAAAATATTGCTTTTATTTATTTCTTTTGTTTTTTTTTTTCTTCTAATAAATTTTTGCTTAAACATAATAAATTAATAATTGAATTAATTTGATTATGATGAGGTATCGAGCAATTTCTTTTTTCTGTATTTCGTTTGAAATGGAATTTTAATGATAATTAGGAATGAAAAAATAAGTAGGATAAATCAGGCAGCTTTATGATGTAGAATTTGAATTTTGCTATGTTTTGAATAGCATTATACATAATTAATAAGGTGATAAAAAATTCTTTCAATAATCTAATTTGTAAATTAAATTTAAGGAGAAATTTTCCAACCGTAATTGTTATAGTCGAGATGACACTTTCCGGAATGCAATACATTTCCATCCGGCAAAACATTTATTCACGGTTAGTAATTTTTCCTTTCCTATATTTTTTCTTTTCTTTTTGTAATAATTCTGCTATATTTAACAAAATTTACAAATTAAAAAACAAATTATGCGCGAAAAAAAAATGGCATTAAAGCACCGAGATATGTTAATACAATTATTTATGATGAAGAAAAATGGGACAAATAGAAGATCAAAATTTTAAAATGAGCAAAACTAAGGGACGCAAACGAAATGAAAATGATATGATATTGATATGATATGGAGTAAACGAATTGCAAATAATCATCTTTCTTTAGTATTTTTTTTTTTTTTTTTTAGTAATAAAAAGTAAGATTGTGAAAAATGATAATAAAGATCGATTGCGACCCCCCAACAAAA